GGTTTGGGGTTTACAGGTTTGGGGATTACAGGTTTGGGGTTTAGGGCTTGAGGATTAGAGGTTTGGGGTTTACAGGTCTGGGGTTTCAGGGTCTAACTGCAGCTTCACTTTCTGGACTACACAGGCGCTGTACTACCCGAGGGCTAACGGTAACTTACCGGCTTACCGGGCTGCTGCAGGCAGGGCCTTCATGACTTTAATGCAGTTTTGGAGGTATAGCGACTTCAGAAAAAGGAACCCAATGCTATGCCAAACCCTATGGTACCGAGTATAGAAACCTTTACAGTCACTCTTTCGAGAACCCTCCTAGACGAACTCTAAACAGCAAGCCCCAGCTTCTATCTTACTTAGACGGCCGAAGGAATGAAGCTCCGTTGAGGCATTATGATCCATGGGGCTCACAAGACTACATAAGGATCTCACAATTAGGGTGTCCTGGAATTCCCTGTATCGGCGACGTCCGACCCCCAAAAAAAACAAGGTTCTAGAGTTTAGATGCTTTTTGGGGGGGCTCCTAGGACCTCACGGCACACACTTAGAGCTCGGGTTTAGGGTTTAGGGAGTTCGAACATCACCTCCAAACCTTCCGAGAGCCATGGCATCAGTCTTTCTACCTCCTGAGCGCTCGGCTGAAGTATGTTCGATCTCAAATACACCGATTCTGACGGTTTTTGTTCAGCATTCCTCCGGAATGGGCTCTCAAAAAGGATGTTTGAAGTTCGACTGCCAATGGCAGCTTGGTAAAGGCCTTCTTTGAAAATTTTTCCCCCGTGGATCGGCTCAGAGCAACGTCCACCGGGGGGTGGGGTTTAGAATTTAGGGGTTCAGGACTTTAGGGCTTATAAGTTATAAGGGTGTCAGGATAGGGTTTCATCTACATCCGCAGCCAAATCCTGTGGCCGTGCTCGTCCGCCATGTCCTCGCAGGCACGGATGGCTTCTGCCTCTCCCCTCGCAGCTCTCAGCACCCACTCGGGGGCCGCCGTGAGTTGAGCGATGTCGGCCGCCGTACCTACGCTGAACTTTGTACCTTTTGGAAATTTGATATTTTGTTCAGCTGTTTTCTTGCTGGAATACTTCTACCCAAAGATGAAAAAATGGTTTCCAAGTGCCCCTAAGGTACAGCCCCGACTGTTCTTGAGGTCCAAGCGCGCCCCAGAAGCTATGAGAATCGCAGCTGCTGCGTAGGCTTGGCTACAGAGACTTAGCATCAAGGGAGTGGCCTTGGAGTGGTGATGGGCATACGTGCTCAGAAGAGATTGTCTCCACTTGTGGCGCAATGTCATCGCACCAAAGAGCAGGGAGAGTGTACTGAAGGTCGGGAGGGCAAGTTGGTTGTTGATGTCAGCCTTCTTCTCTATCAGGATTGCAACGGCCTCAGGTGACTGTGCCTTGTACAGGATAGATACATGAAGGGCCAGGCTCAAACTCTCAGGGCTCGTGATATCCAGCAACTCCATCATGCTGTGCACATGGCCCCCAGCCACAGCCATATGAATCGGCTCGAGCCCCAAAATGTTCAAGGCCGACATGCTCGAGCCCCTTTCCTTCAGAATTCGGACAGCTCCTTGATTGTCAGCTCCTGCGGCCCAGTGTACTGCCATGGCACTGTAGCCGTCTTTTCCTGAGTTCTTGCTAAGGGATATAATTTAAGTTACCATGCCAAGGAAACCATATTATTCACTGTAGATCCCTGTTATGGTAGTTTGAAGAAATTCCGAATAATTCCTTAACAAGAGCCCAGTTTCTGGCCAGGTCGGCGCGAGCTTCCAGCAAGAGCATCACACACTCGTTGTGCTTCAGAAAGCTGCACATGTCAAGCACGGTCGTATTCTGAGCAAACCTAGTTCACGTGCGGGAAAGTAGGAAAATCTAAATTTGTTGTGCTTTTTGAATTTACCTACCCATAAAAATGTAAAGTATTGCCCAACTATGAAAAAGAAACTGCATGATGTTGTCTCGCTTGGTGATTCTGTCATTCACATCGGCCTTGCCCTGAAGTAAAGCCTCGCTTCTGCAAAGAAAAGGGCACAAAAAAGTTCTAACTTTCTAGTGTCTACCAAATATTTGCAAACATATAGATAAATAGATGGGTAGATAGACAAGTAGATAGATAGATAGATAGATATTTAGATAGATAGTTAGATAGATAGATATGTAGATAGGTAGATAGATAGATAGATAGATAGATAGGTAGATAGATAGATTCTTAGATAGATAGATAGATAGATAGGCAGAAAGATGGATAGGTAGATAGATAGATTCTTAGATAGATAGATAGATAGATAGATAGACAGATAGATAGGTAGATACGTAGATAAGTAGATAGGTAAATAAATAGTAGATATGTAGATAGATAGGTAGATAAATAGATAGATGGATAGATAGATAGATAGATAGGTAGATAGATATATAGACAGACAGACGAATAGCTAGATAGATAGACACATGGATGGATTGATAGATGGATAGATGGGTAGATAGATAGATGGATAGATAGATACATATATATATAATATGAAGCCACAAATCTCTCATCGGCTATCTAAGAAGCGGAAACTACCTTGGTGTCCCCCGAAAGCACGGCATAGCATAGCGGGCTCCAACCAGATCTTTGCCGCTCCATGTTTTTCCTGGGTGGCTCTTGGCTAAGCTCTGAACCCGAAACCCTAAACCCTGAACCCTAAAGCCTGAACCCTAAACCCTAAACCCTGAACCCTAAACCCCAAACCCTAAACCCTAAACACTGAACCCTAAACTAAACCCTAAACCCTAAAGGTCAGGCAGGCTGTGGGGTTTAGGGGTTTAGGGTTCGGGGTTCAGGGTTCAGGGGGCGATTCTTGCTTACGAACCTAGTTGAAGGCACCATAAGATGGAAACCCCACGTTGCCGCAGATCGAAACTTATTCTGGTAACTTGAAATTAAGTTCCAACAATAAGAAACTCTACTTTTACTATAGGTTCCGTTTTATGATTACCCGAAACAGGCTGCTCAACCCTAAACCCTTGTATTCAAGTTACTGCAAAGCCCTAGGGCCCTAGGGTTTTCCCTTAACAAAAGCTCAGTTTCAAGCAGTTTTGGTGCATGAACTTCGCCATGGGATCCAAGCCGCTCCCTCCTTTTTTTACAGGCTCTGACAGCTCTGGGGCCGGCCCTAGTAAGGCTTAGCGGTTCAGGGTTTAGGGTTTAGGGGTTGGGGTTTAGGGTTTAGGGCTTAGGGCTTACTGCTTAAGGCTTAGGGCTTAGGGGCTTCCGGGCTCTGGGGCTCTTTTTGGGCTTAGGGGCTCTATAGGGCTTGGGGGCTTGAGGGTCCAGGGATGGGGCTTGGGGGCTTTATGGTTTGGGGTTGCAGGGTTTTAGGGTTCAGCGTCTAGGGGCTTTATGGTTCGGGGCCATGGGAGCTCTAGGGTTCAGCGTTTAGGGGCTTTTATGGTTTAGGGTTGCGGGGCTTGAGGGTTCAGGGGGCTTCTTGAGCTTTAAGGTTTCGGGTTGTGGGTTTAGGAGTTACCGACTCCGGGTTTGCAGTTTGGGCCTCAAGCTTTGGGGCTTGGTTTTTTGGAGCGTCGCTGAGCTGGATGAGGCAACACGGGAACTATCCCCAAAAATCTTCAACCCCTTCCTTCCAACCCTAAAGCCTAAACCCTAAACCTTAAGCCCTAAACCCAAACCCGCTGCAGAAAGCGTCCTGGAATCAAATCCTCCACGGGGTCCTCACCGAGACCTCTCAGGAGCACCCTCTGGAGGTTCAGCATGACCCGAAAGTTGTGCATGTCACCGGAAGAGAGGTAATACTTCAACCTGGTTTGGCACTAAAAAACCCCCCTCTGGGAGTTGAGGATTTAGGGTTTAGGTTTGGGGTAATACTCCGACCTAGGGTTGGAAGGTTGAGGTTGTAAACCCCTTCTTTGATGCAATCAAGGAAGCCCGTATGCGCCGTATGTAAACCCCTTACAGGACCCCTTAAGGAACCCTTCAGCCCAAACCCTCTCCAAACCCAAACCCGGCAACGGCTAAGCAACCCTAACCCTTCGAATTTAGGATTTCGGGGCTCACGGTTTAGGGGTTTAGGGGCTCAGGGTGTATTGGTTTAGGGGTTTAGGGTTTAGGGGTTTAGGGTTTAGGGGTTTGGGGTTTAGGGTTTAGCTCAGCAACTTGTCCCGGAGCATCTCGCACATGGCATTAGCCACCTTTGGGCGGTCCTCGGGAAAGCTAAAGGCGCCTTCTCCCACGGGGCACTTCACCCACTCGAAAGTGGTGGCCTGTTTAGGGCTTGGGCTTAGGTCTCTGGGGGTTTAGGGTCTACTTGGAGGTTCATGGGTAGTTGTAAGTGGGGTTAGAAGTAGGGGAACTATAATTGTAACCCACTATTAGGGGACTTATAGCCCTACTTATAACTACCCATGAACCTCCAAGTAGGATGTCGGACTTAGGGTTTGAGGGCACTTCTCGGATGGCATCCCAGAGCTCAAACACTCGGACTCCGAGTCAGAGATAAGGCATAGATACGGCTTAGGGCTTGGGGATTTGGGCTTGGGGCTTGGGGCTTCGGGTTTATTCAAGCCCCAAACCCCAAACCCCAAACCCTAAACACTAAACCCTAAACCCTAAACCTCAAACCCTAACCCCAAACCCTAAACCCTACACCCCAAACCCCAAACCCCAAACCCTAAACCCTACAAGGGCCTCCGTCAAATGGGATCCACTCTGGATCTCGATCATCACGCTCGCGTCCTCGCGCTTGCTCAGAACGCGGGCCATCCGCTCGAATCGACACCAAGCCTTGGAGGTCACGCTTTAGGGTTTGGGGTTCAGGGTTTAGGGATCTTTAGGGGTTTAGGCTTTGGGGGTTTAGGGTTTAGGGATCTAGGGTTCAGGATTTAGGGGTTTAGGGTTTGGGGTTTAGGATTCAGGATTTAGGGTTTTAGGGTTTGGGGTTTAGGGGTTTAGGGCTTAGGGTTCAGGGTTCAGGGGTTTAGGGTCTAGGGTTTAGGGGTTTGGGGGTCCTACAGGCAAACTTAACTCCTTGGTCCCGAGTAAGGAACGGGCGAATGGAAGCTTCTCTAAGAGACTATCATAGGGATCCATTCCCCATTTCCTACCAAGAGCCGGGCAGATAGACGTAAGATGGTTTATAAACTTGTGGAGTTCTTGTTGTGAGGTTAGGGCCTAGGCGGGTTATCCAAGATTTAGGGCCAATGTCTGCAAGGGTTGAAGGCACAGTTTGAAAACACGCTTTAGGGTGCCATGCAGGTATAGGATGGACCTTTCGGGGTTTAGGGTTTAGGGTCTGGGGTCTAGGGCTGACCTTCTCGGAGTTCATCTTCTCCTTACAAGCTTGTCTCTCAATTAAATCGCAGAAGCCCGCTGTGACCAGGAATGACGGCCCATGAGGTCTCCATTCTCATGCCGCACGAAGGGTGCGAGGATCACGAAATACTTGCAGGACTCAATGTACGCAGGAATGCTACTGATGGCTGCATGCAGGTTCGTCCGATCCTCCTGAGGGCAGCTGAAGAAGTCATACCACACGAAGAGCTCCCGTGGCGTCACCGCTTGGGTCTCTCCTTTGGGCCGCTTCATATTCAGCATCTCAGACTCAATGCTCGGCTGTATGCGACGCCCCTGAAGGCCTGGGCGGAGGGCCTCCTGCAAGAAACGGAGCTGCTCGCCGGAGCAGTCAGGATGATGAAGCCCCGTCCACTGGTGAGACACGAAGATCACATCGCCCATGAAGGATCGGAAGCTTACCAAGAGCCCCTCCCTCTCAAGCTCCTCGTGCGGCTTCGGTGTCACCATCTCCAACAACGTCTTCAGCAAGACCACGTGCATCGTGAAGAGTATCTCGATGGAGCTCTTTGTGCGACGTAGGCTGGGGCCGATGTTGGCATCAGCCCGAGCTGTTTTAAAAATTTCATGGCCCTTCGGCATCCCTACATGCTCGCTTGAGCAGTTCTTGTTGCTACCGCCTTCGGACCCCTCAAAGCGGAGTTGCGGCGGAAGCAGCACACATGCTTTCGGGTTTAGGGTACACTTGTGGCGAGGACGTATCACCCGTAAGCTTACTTCAATGATCGTAATATCACGGGCAATGACGATATTCATTTTGACAACATACGATAACATACGTACCGTAAAATGGACTCGTCATCACCCGTCCCTCGGCCATCACATGGTATACAACCCTGAAACTATCCCTAAGCATGACCCTTGCAATCGCCCTTATTCTCCCTGGCTCCTAGTGCTTTAGGGCTTGAAAAATGGGGGCATAGGGACTACTATAGGGTTTCTTCAGCGACTATCATAGAGATCCGTTCCTTAACCACATTCCCCACAAAGAACCAGGGAGCTAAACATGGGTTTAGGGTTTAGGGTTGTGGATTTCATGTCTTGAGTTTAGGGCCTAAGGGATACGTAAGCTTGAGGGTCTGCGTCGCGAAGGTTTGAAGGCATTCCTTCACGTCGTCCTCGAAATCCCTCCTATTCTCTAAACCATAAGCCCTACACCCTCTCCTCATTGGAAGGGATTCGACTAAGGGCTCAGGGAAAGAATTCAGGGTTACTAATATCTACTAGGGCTTGGGGCTTTGGGGTTAGGGGTTTAGGGGTTTATGGGGTGGGGGTTCTCTAAGGTTTCTGTAGCCGGCAGATACTCTAAAGAATCTGTAAGGGTTTAGGTTTAAGCTTAAGGGCTTAGGGGTTTCGCGCATAGGAAGTTACAGGGTCTCTTTCGGATTTCTATCAGGGTTGTTGGGTTCTGGCGGGGTTTCGGGTGTAGGGGTTTAGGGGCATAGAGTGTAGGGTGAGGGTTCGGCATTTAAGCTTAACTTAAATCCTGTACATCCATAAGGCCTCCGAACTGCTGCTGGAAGTATCAGGGGACAAGAGTCGTAAGAACTCTACCAAGTAAAAGTCAATCCGATACCTTGCAGCGACAATCCCACGGGTTGATGACGGAGTGCAACCTGCTTCGATCGAAAACTGCGCGGATCCATCTTGCGAACGAGGGTTCCGTCTAAAACCCCTAAAACCATAATACCATAATAAACCATAAACCCTAGGGTTATGGGAGTTTTTAAATGGGAGGTACCGCTTGGACGGGCAGAAGGATGTCGAGGCATCCGGTAAAGCTTTATAGGTTTATAGGGGTTCTTGAGTTTAAGGACTGCAATAAGAGGTACTACAAGGGGTTTAGGGTCTAGGGGTTTAGTGGTTCAGGGTTTTGGGCTTTAGGATTAGGGCTTAGGAAGTAGGGTTTTGTTGTTAAGTTTAAGGTAGGGTGGCTTGGCGTAGGGTCAGTCGGAAGGGCTTAAGTTTCGCTGTGGCAGCATGACAGAGCAGCCCCGAGTGGTTAGGGTTTAGGGCTATAAGTATAAGCTATAGTCATAATATAGCTAAAGGGTTACAGGGTTGAAAATTCTAGCCTTTGGGCTTTAGTGTTGAGGAGTGTTGCGTTCAGGATTCGGCTTCGGGTTATAGCTGGCTTTGCTTACGGTGGCTTAAGGTTTAGGGTTCTCGCTTTGGTGCTTCGGGTTCTGGGGAGTTAGTTCAGAATTTAGGGTTTAATCGGGACTTAGGGCTCCAACTTCTAGAAGCCTAGAACTAACTGCAAGCTACCATCAAGAATCGCGAAGTCAGAGTCCTCCATGGTCGGCGAGGCAGCTGTGAGAACTTCAGTGTGGCTTCTTTGTGATGCCACCAGAGATGCCATGACGCCGTTTCTTGGGTAGCAAGCTCTTGTCGTCCAGCAAACGCAAGACTTCAAAACGGCCCTCCTGAGTGGCTAATGTCACGGCCGTGAAACCGTCCCTATTGGCCAAATTCCTGTCGGCGCCAGCCCTTAGCAGCACGCGAAGAATTTCCAGATGGCCAAGAGAGGAGGCGAACATCAGCGCAGTGATGCCGTCTTGGTTGGCTAGATCTTTGTCGGCACCTGCCTCCAACAGAGCCTGCAGAACTTCCAAAGTGCCTTCTTGAGACGCCATTATCAAAGCAGTGTCTCCATCATTGTCAGTTAAGTTCTTCTCGGCCCCGGCATCCAACAGCAAACCCAGAACTCCTGCGTGGCCTCGATGAGAAGCCATCATCAAGGCAGTAACGCCGTCCGAATTGCTTAAGTTTTTGTCGGCACCGGCCTCTAGCAGCACGCGAAGAGCTTCTGCATGGCCTTCCGTAGAAGACAGCATCAGAGCAGTGTCACCATTTCTGTTCGCCAAGTTCGCATCATCCCCGGCCTCCAACAAGACACGCAGAACCTGGGGGTGGCCCTGATGAGCAGCCATCATCAGCGCCGTGTCACCGTCATAGTTGGCCACGTTCGTATCGGCACCAGCCTCCAGGAGGAAGCGCAGCGCTTCAACGTGGCCTTGGTGAGAAGCCATCATCAGGGCCGTGACGCCATCATTGTCCTGTATGTTCTTCTCGGCACGGGCCTCCAACAGCAAAAGCAGGATTTCCAGGTGGCCTCGATGAGAAGCCATGAGCAGGGCAGTGTCGCCGTCACGATTAGCTAAGTTCATGTCGGCACCGGCTTCCAACAGCAATTCCAGGATGTCCATGTGTCCTTCTTGGGACGCGAACATGAGGGCTGTGACGCCGTCTTTTTGGCTCAAATTCTTGTCGGCACCGGCCTGCAACAGCAAACGCAATGCTTCAATGTTGCCTTGACAAGAAGCCATCATCGTTGCGGTGACACCATCATTGTCCTTGTAGTTCTTGTCGGCACATGCCTCCACCAACAAACGTAAGACTTCAATGTGGCCTCGATGAGAAGCTAGCATCAGGCCAGTGAGGCCGTCATTGTTCTTTAAATTCGCATCGGCAGTTGCCTCCAGCAGCAAACGCAGAACCTCGACGTGGCCGTGCGCAGATGCCAACATTAGCGGACTGCTGCCATGCCCATCGACCACGTCAGGGTGCTGAGGATGCTGCAACATGGCCTCGACCTGCAAGGGTTTGGGGTTTAGGGTTTAGGGTTTTTGCGAGATGAATCTTGTTGGGATTTTTCCAGCAAGGGGTATCAAAAAGGCTTCAGGGCTTGGGGTAGACGTCTGTTTGGCAACGACGAACCTGGGAGATGGAACCGTTCTCCGAAGCAGTAACCAGCTCCTTCACTTGCACTGGTGATGCCGCGGAAAACGTAAGTAAGACCAGCTCCAGTTCGACAGGTGAATCCAGGTTGGCAGAATCATCTAATGGATTCCCACCGAAGAACAATCTTTGTCTGAATCGCGCAGGCAAACCATGCAACTTGTTGAGGTGCTGTTTCAACGCCTTGACATCGCTCAACTCCACAGCAGGCATGCTCGCCACCTCTTCCCCCGACATCATCCTGATGCGCAACATTGGGCACCACAATGTGACGGCTGATGTTTACTTCTTCCCAACGAAATTGCAATGCAAAAAACATCTATTTGCACAGAACACTTGCTAACCAGCAAACATCTGGCTCGTGTGATGTTGCGGAGATGCTTTGCTAACGGCCATGCTGAACGGAACATAACGAAACCACCTAGCCACCCAACGGCTCAGCTTTGCATGCTGAATTTGGATAGCTGGTTCCATGGTGGAACACCTTGCAAAACCCAACCTCCTAAAAGTGGGTGCAAAGCAATAGGAGGTGCAGGAATCAACGAACCCATTTCCGCTCTTCAACAATACTGCTGTCCCGGTGCCCTGTCAAATTTCGCAAAGGGAACACAACTCGCCTTATCGGTACGACGATTTGCAATAGGTCACGTAGTGGATATGGAATGTCGATTAAACACGCTGAAAACTCGTTGTAACACGCATCCAAGCCTTGTTGTGGATGCATTTCTTGCTTGATACGGTGACATGACAAGTAAGACAATCGTCAAGATGTCGTTACAAGTGTGATAGCTTGCAAAAAACAATTTTTGAACAACATTACAATGTTGGATCACGAATTCAACACAATGACTCAGAGCATAACTTATACTTTTCAAACTGTTGTCAGACTCTTGATGTTACCATTACATTCGTGACACATCGAAATCCATATTACCATCGTCACTTTCACTTCACCGAAGCTTCCACGGCCATGCCATTGAAATCATTAGGCCCAACACCATGACAGTCGTCGTCATCTTCAAACAAACATCGTCACAAGAGTGGAATTTCTGTTTGGTTGTCGGCATCCCCCAGACCTCTCGGACTCGGAGGGTCCAACCGCGTGGTGATACGCGGTTCGCACGTACAGGGGAGGCTCCTTGTGGTGCACACGTTTTGGAAGGGTTTTT